TATTTTTTAGTTTCCACTGGTAGAAGGTGGGCCTTTTGCACCAAAAATGGAAGTATTGAGCTGTACACACTGTACCCGTACTTCTTACAAGGCTGAGATGGTTTTAGAAATGTCTGTGGCCCAGTGAGCAGGGATAATAATAATAAGATAATAATAGAAGTAGAAGAAGGACCACTTATCCGCTGTTAATTTCGCACCATATAAATAAAGCCATTATTTTTATAAGTATGTACAGTGATGTATTGCATTTTGATCCTTATGTGCAAACCAATGGGCCCTCTTTTTCCCGAATGAGTTGTTGCATTTTGTCTCATTGACTGATTTTCTAAATAATTGTCACAGTCAGAATTTTGAATTCAACTCTTTTTCCTCCCAGAGTAATGATGTTGGCTTGACCTGGAGTGACCCTGTGGACATCACCAATCAAACTATCGGCAAGATCAAACCCTTTCCTGTCTTATATGCTCCAGGTAACTTTACAAATTCCCCTCTCTAATTTGCAAATCAGTTGCGCATGACTGAATCCCCTGGTTGTGCTCACTGTATCGCAATGATCAAATCCGCGCTAATCAGCTTTGTGATGAAGATAATGATTTTAAAAGCTGATGTACATGTATCTGCACTGGAAGTATTTCCAAATCTCATCCTTATCATTGCTTCACTGTTGATGTAGAGCTTGTTGAAAATGTAAATTTGTAGAAAGAGCTCAGTTCCATATTCCTTGTCATAAGATATATATATATACAATACATGTACATCATATTCTTTGTGTTAACAGAACCGGCGGAGGTATCTGTGTGATACTAAATACAGAATTTTTGGTGTTCAGATGAATGAAAGCAGCTCTTTTAGTTCTTTCAAGCGCATGAATATAACATTCACATCTGGAAGTAAAAGAATTGAAGCTGTTTATCATTTACCGACCTCCGCCATCCAGGATTAACAAGCGGAGGATGTACACATTTTTGGAGGAGTTTGGTGTAGTTGTTGAGAGCATCCCCGCTATTTCATCTAAGGTGCTTATTTTGGGAAACTTCAATATACATGTTGACAAGACTGATGAAAGTGAACCTTGTAGATTTTTAGACTTACTGACATCTGCATGACCTGGCTCAAGTAGTTGTTGACCTGCTGTTACTAGGAATGTGGAGAAAATTGTATCTTACATGTAAATAGGGGTTAACAACTGCCTTCAGGGTGATCATGCAGTTATCATCATGAAGGTTCAAGTGTCCAAATCCAGCTCATCCATAATAGTCACTGTTTCCAGATGACTGGAACAAATGAGTGTAAAAATTTTTTCAAGACAGACATTCAACCATCTGAACTTGGTTTAATTCTCTCATGAATTTTGTTGACCTCATTTTACAATACAACCAAGTCCTGCATGATCTCTTAAATAAGTGTGCTCCAGAGGTCCACCGAACTGTCACTCTCCGTCCACACACGGGGTGTGACTTGGAGAATGATCACCAAGTGTACAGAGATAATTGTCACACCTACCGACAGTACCTCAATAATCTAATTACCATAACGATGAGGTGGCTGGCTGTTACTCCCGGCAGTTGTTCAACATGATCATTAGATCATTAGATGCGGCATAGATCAGTTGCCAGAGTGCTTCCATCTGCACCTGAAAGGAATGTGGCTGAAAGGTTTGTCAACTTTTTTACCATTAAGATCATGGATCTACGAAAGAACCTGGATCTATCACATAGAAGGCCAGTATCTGTACAGAGAGCAGTTCTGACTCTCTCTTCACCATGTGTTCAGCTGACATTGCGAAGATAATCCATCTCCCACCAAAGATTTAATTTTTTGCTTGATCCAATGCCAACATCTTCATTGAAAGAATGCCTTGATTCTCTCCTATCATTGTGAAGATTGTTATTGATTAATAGCTTCATACCTTAGCGATGGCCATCACTCTGTCTGTAGGCAAAGCCACATCTTCCAAATGGCTGGTATTGTATGGTGTTCCTCAAGAATCCATCATTGGTCCCAAAGATTTCATTTTGTACATTGGGCCAGTAGCTTCTATTTTAAATTCTCATAACATCAGTGGATTATTGTGTGCAAATGATACATAACTCTGTATCACTCTGATTCATCAGTTTGCTGATGGTCTTGATGCTTACGTAACTGATACTAGATATTTATTCATTACCAACAAGTTAATGCTCAAGGACTCTAAGACTGAAGTCATCCACATCACTTCATGCTACCAGAGGAATAAGGATCTACTTCCTCCTGTGCACATTGGTCTGTTGAGGTCAACCCATTAGTCAGTGCATGTAATCTGGGAGTTCTTTTGATGATCTTATGTTCACATGGTCCTGTTGAGGTCAACCTTTGTAGTCAGTGCACGTAATCCAGTCTGTGCACCATTAGTCAGTTGAGGAGGTTTCTAGATAGGGCTACTGCTGAACATCTCGTACATTTCATCTCAACTTTACCGCTGTAATCCCAGACTCTGAAATAAGCAAGCTTCAGCACATTCAGAACACAGCTGCCCACCTGACAGTTAAGGCTAAAATGTGGGATAGCTCCACAAAATCCTTTGTCAACTTCACTGGCTCCCCATTTGGAAACATATACTTCTCAAGATTCTTCTCTTGGTCTTTAAATCCTCAAATGGATCATACTCATTGGATGAGTACATTAATGAGCTCCCGACCCCCTGTGTTCTGTCTTGCTCCTTGTGTTCAAGCTCTCTTGGGTTACTGCAACACCCTTGAGTAGTGGGTAGGACTCTATCTACCTACAGTGACTAATCATTCTCTGTAGCTGCACCAGTCATGTGGAACAAGTTGCCTCTCTCTGATGGAAGTGCCCCTTCAGTCAGGTGTTCAACACTCGTCTGAAATCTTTCTAACTTTCTAATGTTCTTTTTGTTTTTATTTTAATTTTAATCAGTGTAGTTTTAATGTTATAATGATCATTATTTCACTGGGAATTACCCGGTATAACTCTGGTTTCTAGCTGTCACTTTTGGAGGGCAGGACATGGGTGATCAACCAGACACTCAGTACCACCGTCCCTTCATCACCCTGAGGTTGAAAATACTGGCAGGGCCCAGGCTCTTAAACTGCTGGAAAATGGCTGGCCTCGCCAGACCTTTAAGGCAGGGTACTGTGTGTCTAAGAATCTCCCATGCCCGGCCTCCTTAACGGATCACTCGGATATATAGACTGTCCCAGTGAAATACCGGTACCAGAAGCTCTTATGTAGTATACTGATACATGTAATGTGCCCATGTTAAATGTAATGCATTACTCATTTGTAATTTTGTCTTGCCAGATAAGTCAATGTAAATCGCCGTGAGGTAATAATGGAGGGGGGTTGCCAAGTCCATTTTATTATTATTATATTATCCTGAGACGATTCTCATAGATCATCTGGGACATCAGTTGTTCCCTAATGGAACAGTTGGGCGATATTCCCAGAATAATATATTCTAGAGTGTCAATTTTGGTGAAGCCTCCTCAGCTGCATTTACCAAAGAGGGAAATTATGAACCATCTTCCTTCTTGCAGTTTATGGTCACAAACTCTGAAGTAATGAGGATATTTTTTCTTGGCAGGCCCAGGCCACTCTCTTCAAATGAATTGTGGAAGGATCGTAGTTCCTGGAAATTTCTTTACTACGGAGGAAAGAAGAAGTGAGGAGAACTTTGTATTTTAGTGAAGCATAAAAAGCTTATTTATCAAATTTCTGAAGAAAAGAGATTGAGTATTGAATGATGTGCAGCTCGAGTTAAGAGGTATTCTTGATGTTGATAGAAATGGACAAATTGAGTGATATAGTTCAGTGTGCCAGCATATTGATGAGTGAAAAGTAGTCTTATTTTGTAATATTGTTCAAGAGTTTGTAGCGGTTGCCACAAGTACTTTGACTAGTACTTTCACTTGTAACAGTGCGTAGACAGTGACAAAGCAATGCCCATATAGCTCATATGACTAATGCTTCTGGGGTACCAGTACGTTTGTAATGTACTGTGCAAACTGGTGAATAATTGTCGAGCAAATTTGACCACTTTCAAAGTTGCTTACGTGTGAGTACTTGGCATAACCTCTGTTGAAAAAAGTGACTTTTGTATCAATTTGTAAGCGAATTACTTGAAATTGCTTCTTTCCAGGAGGCATCTCTGGCATGTGCTCCAATTGCATCAATCTATCCAACATTCTCTACAGCGATGACGGGGGCACAACATGGCACCTCGGGGCCAGAACGGCACCTGCCCAAGATGCTAGTGGGGCTTCTATCTACCCCAATGAAGCGCAGGTGGGTTAATTGAAGTACAGTTTAGAAAATTTTTCCTTTCCTTAAAATGAAACTGAAATGTGTAGTCTTTCTGAAAAGTGCCTTTTTTAAAACACATTCCATGCTCTTGTATCAAAAGTGCTTTTGCCTTAGACATTGCACAGTTTATTGGGACTTTCTCTTGAATTCAGAACCCATTGAAAATACCTGCATTTGTCAAAAAAGTATGCCCACTGGCCTACTGTCGTGTACAAAAGACAAAAAAATCCACACGTGTATCATCAAAGGAAGGAAAGTGTAAGGCAGTAAAATACCCAAATTCTGGTAAACTGTGGTGCTTAAGTACCGTAAATGTAGTTGTAACATTTAGGCATCTGATGGAGTCAATTATAATTGTACAGATCACTCACTTATTCCCTTGTATCCTTCAGAGAATTCCTTTTTTCTGTTGTGCAGTGGTTTCCAATACACACTTTGTCCAAACAGCTTGATATCTCTTACTTTCATGTAGAGTCTAAGTTCATCACTGCAGTATGTGTGGCCTGTCATGCAGGGTGAACTGTCATGCAGGGTCTACTTAATGAAATAATCAAACTTTTGTACAGATGTGCTGTGTGTTCATACTTTGGGTAGTGCTGCAGTTAAGACCTCTTTATCAGGCTATTGTCAGACCTCACAACACCTTAACAAAACATACAAGACCCTCAGTCTTAATTTTAGTCAGAGACTATTCCAGTGGACTGCAACAAAAACATTCCTTTGTGATTGTCCCTGTTACTTATGACTGGTTTTGTGAATCGTCTTATGCATGGTCTTGTGTCTTCTTGTGAAAGCTTTACTGATGACTTCCTTTACATCACTGACTTGGGAACTTGACTGATCTGCCCATTGAAAATGCTGCATTGTCAAGGTGTGCATCAGGCCTCCACGAGGGTGTTCCTTTTCCTCACCTACCACATAGATGGATGGCATGAAATCTGGTGCCCAATGGATGCGAAGCTATAGGAATTAGCAAATTGACCTGCCTTGGAAAAGGCTCTGAAGTGCCCTCTGTACTTCACACCTCAATCCTATAGACAGATCTGATGACGCCATTCAGAGGAGCCATTTACACTCACACAGCTGTCTCAACCTGAACATGTGCGCACCCTTTGGCAATTGACTACTGCAATTGGTCAAGCAGGGATGTCACACATGTGCACCGCCTGCGTGCGAACAGTATGGCCCCGCAGTAATAGCTCCTAATTTTGGTCTTTGGATATTTCTATACAATGTTCAGCAAAGCTCTACCGGTAGGTGAACCAACCAGTCAAAGTCAGGCATTGTCGACTTGAACTATTAAACCTGTATCACACTTCTAATCTGTCTTTTTCCTTTCCCCTCTCCACGGCTAGCTTGCAGAATTTGATGATGGTACCCTGTACATGAATCTTCGAACTCTGGACAGTGTACAGCCGAGGGCCTATTGCCGTAGTTATGACGGCGGCCAGACTTTGACTAGGATTAAACTTCACCCGACTCTAGTGGAGCCAGGGTACAGGAGGAAGAACAAGGCATGGAAGCCGGCATTGCCCGGTGGCTGTCATGTGAGTCCCTGTTGTATTACAAACATGTTGTTGGCAATTGAAAATCTTTATTCCTGTGTGCATGTCGGCATTGCAACTGTGCACACAGATTTGTGGTTTTCACTGTGACCCGGGTTTAAGTCCTGCTAGGGTTGAAAATACATGTATATATATATACATGTAAATCGGGTATGTATTTTCAGTCCTTGCAGATTCCATTGTGTTTTCTCTTGAATAATGTTTACCTTCTTTGTCGTTCGTCTTGTTTCATGAATTAAATGTTTCTTCATGTCTATGTGGATTCCATTAATTGTTCAGGCTTTCAATTGGAATAATTGAATAATATTGAGTCTTCTTTCAACCTACCCCAAACAGTCGCTAAATATGCAAATTCCTTTGCATCTGATTCAATTCGCTAAAACTTTTGATCAACCATAGTGCGCCCTCAAGTCTCATGATGCATAGCGGAATGGCCGTCATTTTCGTCCTTCTTTTCCTCAGCTTGATTCTAAACGAACATGTTTTTTTGACATCTTCGAGTTTATCGAGTTTTCCGTTTCGCTACACACCTTTGTTACATTCTGACCAAACTGTAACGTACCATATTGTGATTAATGTACATTCTATATTTCTGAGGTTTCATATGTATATTGTCTTGTTTTGGTGGTATATTTCATCTTTTCGTGTGTGTGCATTTTATAGATCGTTAACTCTACGCGATTACTACCAAGCGATACATAGGGTCAACGGGGCAACCCTGGGCTTGTTGGGGTTTGCAAGGAAGTGCGAGCGTTTCGAATTTTGCGACCCCAAATTCCCCTTTAGGGCGTCCATACCCGCCCAGGGTCTCGACTTATTTCCTGTTTGCCTGGGAGGACTTTTCTGACTTCCTCTCTGTGCCGGAGATTCCAATGGAGGCTAAATATAAACTTTCCTCTGACGCTTACAAGCCTACAGGAAAGTCTCCATTTAAAGACAAGGACAAGTGTTTCGTCGAGTCTACTCTTTGCTGAATTTGACAAAGCGACATGGCCTCTCTAAGTATTTGGCCCGAGCGTGTGACGAAGATTCACCAGTTACTCCAGACCTGGCAGCTGTCGCACTTCGAGCGCTCGATGACAACGTTAACTCACGCAGATCCAACACTTTAGACGCTATGAACATTAGGGTGTCAAGTCAAGACTTCAGGAACTTCCTCTTTATGGCAAAGACCTTTCCACAGGGAAGTTCATGGAAATGATGTGAACGTATTGACACAACACGTAAACGTAGCTTCCGTGACCTTCCACCAGTGGCTCCACCTTGCCAATCCCATCCCGATGATCGCCGGGCTTGACCCTTCAGACCCTCACGTCAGGGCATGGTTCCTTTTTCCCTTTTGTCAACCCAGTTACCAGACGAATCGCAGCCGTCCATCCTCCTCTTAACTTACCAAGCCACCCCAGAGGAGCTTCAAAGGAAGAAGTACCGTGCCACGCTAGCAGACCTCCTGGTGGTAGGCGTCGCTGACTATTCAGCGACGCTGACTATATATATTTGCCTCCCCACCGATCTCAGACCCGTCAGCAGGCGACTTCAACTCTTTGCAGGGTCTTGGGAGAAAGTGACATTGGACAGCTGGGTGCTTGCGACCATTTGTTATGGATACACCCTCGAATTCACTAGCACCCCTCCATCTGTACATATCTTCCGCCTTACTTCAGTTCCTACCGACAAAAACAAATGACAGGCACTGGAGTCTGAGATAGACTCTCTCCTTTGGAAACGTGCTATGCCCCCCGGTTCCCAAATCTCAAGCAAACAAAGGTTTCATCTCAACGTTTTTCCTCACTCCAAAAAAAGAACTCAACAGCTGGCGACCTATTATCAACCTCAAACCTCTGAACCGCTTTATCCACCCAAAGAAATTCCGTATGGAGACCCCTCGGACGGTCACCCAATCTCTACAGGTTTCATGCTGGGCCTCTTCCATAGACTTGAAAGATGCCTACCTCCACATTCCGATTCACCCAAAAAGCTACGAATACCTACGCTTTCTATACAATGGGAACTTCCTTGAATTCACGGCTCGCCCCTTCGGCCTCTCTTCACCGAGAGTGTTCTCGAGGGTTGCAATGATCATTGCGCTTACCTTCGAAAACGGGACTTCATGCTGTTCATGCTGGACGACTGGATGATCGTCGGCAGATCAACAAAGCAGAGGTTTCTACCGGCCTGACTTGCGACATCACATATCGGCTTGGCTTCGTCATCAACCACAAGAAGTCAAATCTTGCTCCAACACAATACCCGACGTGTCTAGGGGCATCTATCAACCTTCAACGAGGCATAATCTCACCGACGACTGAACGCATTGACAATCTTCTCGACTGCGTGAAAGTCTTCTCTACCGAGCAGTCTGCTCCGGCCCGTGCCTGACTCCGTCCCCTGGGCTTGATGGCCAGTATGGTAGATCTCATTCCCCTCTGCAGGCTGTACATGCGCCCACTTCAGCTTCATCTCATTGCGCTCTACAGGCCAAAATGGGACTCAATCAATCTCCAGGTCCCCATATGAGACTTCACCCCCCCCCATCTTCAGTTACGGTTAGCTCGGAGTTCCCTTACCCAAGGTGAAGCTGGAAATAACTATAACATCGGACACTTCTCAACTGGGCTGGGGAACCTCCCTACCACCGCTTCAAGCATTGGCAACATGGGACCTCCAGCTCCAAGGGAGTCACATCAGTATACTGGAACTTCAGGCCCTATTCAATGCACGGAAAGCTTTCCGCTCAAGCATCATAGGCAAACGAGTTCTCATCCGCTCGGACAACTCCACAGTGGTGTCATACATCAATCTCCAGGGAGGCACACATTCTTCCTGCCTATGCCTCCTGTCGAGACAGACATTCCTTTGGGCCCAGGATTATGGCATCGACCTATAGGCGACTCACATTCCTGGTGTCAACAACTCCATAACAGATGTTCTCTCTCGGGGAAAGGTATATCCTACGGAGTGGACTTTGCACACCAGTGTAGTCGAACAGATCTTCCCCAAAGTAGGAAAACCGAACATACAGTGTAGATTTTTTCGCCTCGGCGGAGAATGCCTAACTGCCAGTGCTCTGCACCAGATTTTACCACCCGCAAGCCTGGGCAACGAACGCTCTTCAAATAAATTGGGAAGGGATGTTGGCCTACGCTTTCCCTCCAATATCCCTAATACCAGCAGTTCTCTCCAAGATCGAAAAGGAACGCTGCCATGTCCTTTTCATCGCCCTCTTCTGGCCACGCCAGCCATGGTTCCCACGTCTGACCAGACTTCTCGTCTGGGTACCGGTGATCCTTCCTGATGGACCGGATCTGCGACATCAGCTGAAGTCAGGCATGCTTCACCCTCATCCGACATCACTACACCTGACCCGTTGGCTATTGTCAAACAGTCCTTCAGATTAGCCGGGCTTTCTGATGAAGCTGCCAAAATGGCCTCGAAGAGTCGACGCCAGTCTTTGACTCCAGATTCCAACATTTTACTACATGGTGTTCAGAGTGAGGTTTTTCTCCAAATGAAGTTTCTGTGACCTCTATAGCTGACTTCTTCATGCACCTGTTCAAATCAGATCTCCAGGTTTCAACTATCCGTAACTGCTGGTCAGCTATTGCGGGTATACACGATGGCTTCCTAGATGGTACGACTGGGTTCGACAATACTGCTCTTAAACATCTACTTTAGGGGATGTTTCTTGAGCGTCCCCTGACTAAGAGACTAATTCCTTCATGGGATTTGTCAGGTGTCCTCCAACTGCTTGCTGGTCCTCCCTTTGAGCCTCTCAGAGATGCATCGTTGTTCAGCTTATCGGTGAAACTGGCCTTCCTGCTGGATTGTGTTTGTCTCATCCCAACGCTTGGGTTTCTCACCAAGAACCAGTCAGTTTCCTTCCATCCTCCAGACATTTTTGTACCAGACATTACCAAACACACTAGGACTCCTGATGACAAGCCTTGGTGTCCAGTGGGGACTCTCAAATTGTACTTAGCCAAACCAAAAAACTCACAGGTGCAACTTTGCAGCTTTTCATCACCACAATAAAACCTCACCGAGCTGCGACCAGAGACAGTATAGCCAGATTGGCAGTTTCAGCCATCAAGTTTGCCAACCCAGACTGGCTGAACTCTGTGGACAATAAAACACTACGCTTCATCATGGCTCATGATATCCGAGAAGTTTCCACATCATGGGCCTACTTCAGGGCCGTACCAAATGGAGGAAATATGCAAGGCAGCATGCTGGAAGACCCCATCTACTTTCACCACATGCTACCTTACCGATGTTCTACAAAAGGACTCCGTGCATGGCAGAGCGGTCCTTACATCGGCCACATCTCATTATGTAGTGCGTCCTCGCTGCACCCCCCCTCCAAGGGCTTTGTGCTACTCTGCATATTTAGTGAATGTTTGGGGTAAGCTGAAAGCAGAAGACTCCTCCCACAGAAATGTGGGTGAGGTCTGCTATTGAATACCTAACCCAAACAGTTGGCCCCCTCCCATCCTTCCCCACTCGGACGGTTTTAATACCGGAAAAGAAGGACGCAAATGGCGGCCATTCCACTATACATCGTGGGACTAAAGGGTGCACTACGGTTGATCAGAAGTTTTAGCGAATTGAATCAGACGCAAAGGAATTTGCACATTTAGCGGCTGTTTGGGGTAGGTGTTCATGAGCAGACCTCACCCACTTTTCTGTGGGGGAGGGAATTATTCAGTTGCACCAATTCCCACCAAAGCAGAAAAAGATTAAATTTACCAAACAAAAATCACAAGAACAATTAAGGTAAAATTTGGCCTTATTGTGGGGAACCATATGCAAGGTTACTCACATCTTGAAATATGCTTTAAAAATGTAGTTTAATTTTGTTATGTTTTTTATTTCACTGATTTTAAGCTGGAGTAGTCAATTTGAAAAGTTTGTACATGTATTCAAATTGTCAAAAATTAATCCGTTTTCTGACTAATTAAATGGAGTATAAGAAAATAGGTTCATTTTTACACTTGCAGAGTCCAATTGTGAGTCTTTGCATGTGGTAACCACTTCCAAAGACCCTGATCGGGTATACAGGAGTGCTAAGTCAAGTCTGGATTTTAAAAGGCTAATGTAGTCAAGTGTAGCCTATATACACCTATTGTTGAGAAAAATGAAGTTTGTTTCTTTCTTCTTAAGGCAAGCACCATCTCTGTCAATATCAGCACACCCACTCCAGTTCCGACACCACAGAAAACATGGCTGGTTTTCTCCAATCCAGCCGACCCACTCGAACGTGTCAACCAGGGTATTCGCCTGTCTGTCGACGGGGGTACCTCTTGGAGCAATCCCTGGATAATCTTCCCCTACAAGTCTGCCTACTCTGACCTGGTGTACTTTGACAAGACAACTGCAGCTGGTAAACGTGAGCACTACTTTGCCGTTGTATTTGAAGGTGGGAGCTCTACATTCTCAGATCACCTCAAATTCCTCATGTTTAACTTAGAGGCCCTCATTCACAACATTTTGAAGCATGGAACACCCAGGAGCTAGTTTTCAGTTTGTCAGAAATAAGTTTGTGTAACACTGAATTTTCTGAATGAATACCACAGGTATGAACGTCAAACATTTGTGGTGAACACAGAAATGACCTCCCTTGATGAAGAATTACCAGTAGCCTGGTGATTATAGGAAAAAATAAGTTTTTCAGCTAGGTAATAATTTTCCATGGAAGAAAATTTTATCCTCGCTTCGAACACCTTCAAAAGGGCATTCAAGGCAGACATTAAAATGGTCTTGATCATAAGTCGGCCATCGTGAATTGGGAGTGAAGAAACATTTTTATATTGGGAACCTGAGAATAGAAATGAAGGCAATGAAATAAAAGGTCATTACAAATTTGTGTCATTTATGTTGATGAATAATTAAGAATTGTGATCAATTATTTCTAAATGTTTTGAAGCACAATTTAAAAATGAAAGCGGGCAGGGAAACCTAAATAGTCTAACACAACCCAACTTGACAGTTCACATTGAATCTGATTTTAGGAAAACAACAAAAATGGTTTCCGTGGTCTATTAAAATTTGATTGGCTGTTATTTTCAGTGGATAGTTTTGCGTAAAGCTTCCTTTGTACCTTTAAAAGTAATTCAGATGCCCATTGCCATGTTGAAAAATGACTTCTTCGCTTCATTACAAAACGGGGAAGTTTAGGGTCTGGTTTCGGGTTGGATCCTGCATATCACAGAAATTCAAGCTGCTCACAGTCATTGATATCTTGGACCCTTTGAGTATATGAACTCAGCAATGCACCAACCACAGAAACAGTCCGTTAGAGGGAAATTAAGGCCTCACAAGGTCGGAGATGAAAATTTGGGGTCGTTAGTCAGACTTTCAACCATTGGAAAACAATTGACCATTCATGCATCCAGACTCATTAAAAAAAGCTTAATAGTTGTACAGGCAAAATTTGCTCGTACACTGTAGATACGTGCTCACCCCCCTTTTTTACTGAACTATTTTGTGCACATGTAACTTTTTCAGAAAATGTGTGCTCAATTTTGTGAAGAATATTAACATTTGTTGTAAAGAATATCTCAGGAAAGCCTCAAACATCTTCCCAATATTCCTCCTCTAGACATGCAAGGAGATGCACGCCAGAGCTACCTCAAGGTTCTTTAAACTACCCGTCTGAAATTGTTTTAATTTGTTATTTTGTTTTATTTATTGAACATTATCTTAAGTGGTGGGGGTTGAACCATTTCGTGTTCTGGTTTTCACTGAGCTGTCTGGTTTTAGTTTTTAACCAGTCTGAAAATCACTGCAAGAAAAGGTGCCCCAACAATAATTTGTCATTTATGGCATAAAAACGTTCCTTTTAAAGCCAAGTCGATTGTCTATTTCGTACATAGCTCTTACAGCAGTGGGTCCTGAAGGCCTGACAAAATTTCTGTATTCTCGTGAAGTTCTTTATTTTCGAAAGCAGAGGCAGAGCCCAGAAATCCGATATTCGAATTTCTTTTTGAAATTCGTTAACCGGATTTGAAGTTGTCATATCTTGTTACATAATTATAATAATAAGAAGAAGATGCCCGTGTCTATATATGACAGATGTGAATACTTCGTACATTCTTTCAGGTTTTGTGATAATGTGCGTTGTTTTGCAGTACTGAAGGAAGGTTTTTTTAAGATGGAAGCGGAAACTTACGTTTCAGTTGATTTTGTTTTGTTTTTCAAGTATACCTAACAAAAACGTTTTTCTTATTTACTTTGTAAATAAGAAAATTGTGGAAATTGTAGTATACACATTGTTTGTTAATTTTGAATTTTGAAGAGTTTAAAACTGCTGACGAGGCTACGATGTAAATGAATATGAATAAATATTATATTCGTGGTATCGGTACGTTATGATCGGCGTCTGTTTGTTTGTATGCTTTTTGTTTTGTTTGTTTTGTTTTATTTTGCAAGCTTTATGATACTTCCAGTTTACAGTTGCTCATTGTTGGAGATTGTACTGCTGTGTTCACCGTTAGAATGGGTTGCAGGAAAAAGTAGCTTCAGAAAATAAGACAGTCACCAAAATTAGTCATGTATTTTCGCACTGTTACGTAAATTTAATCGCTTATATGTTCGCAAGCCTCTTGTTTGTAAATTTTGTGCTGTAAAAACCAAGCTTTAGTTTACTTAAGCATTCTCATAGGTTATAACTGCAGTACTGATCACATAATTACGGTTACGCAGTTGTGTCTTCTCATGCCTTCAGAATAGGACACTACCATTGTTCCTACAATATAAAGCGCTTTAATACATTGTATACTAAGCACCAAGCGAACAAGAGACTGGCAACCGGGAAACACCCTTCGTTCCCTTTGTCTTCTACCCTCTACAGTAAAGAAGAACATGCACGCGTATTTAATTCGGTCATGTCTATCATGACAACCGGTATCATGTTAGAAAACATGTCATTACTGAAGGAAATGAAGGCCGAACCAACATCCGGTTTCCACTCCGCGGTACGTGTTTCTCTTTAGTATTGCCATGATTGTATTTTTCTTTTTTCCCAATCCTTACATTTTGCAAAACATGCCAAAAAGGTGCATTGGGTAAAGTCTGAGCACATTTGCAATAATTACTTCCATCATAAGCGAAATGTATTTTATGTATCATATCTTGCGACCAATAGACATTTTTTCAATCCTAAAAACCATGGATAAACCTCTTAAAATGTAAAGTGTAACACATGTATATCCAGAAGGATGAGTAGACTAATTCGTTTTCAGCCGTCTGTCTATAAGTGCGAACCGTATCTTTTCACTGAAATATGCATTTGTTTTTGTATTTTTTTGTGAAATTCCGTCCGTGATCTGTAAATCTCTGATTCCTAGTTTTATCAAAACAATTTTTACATCGGATTCTCCTTACTTTACATGACATCTCCCTTATAATCGTGGTGATGCATACACGTATTTTAGATTCTGATATTAGTAGAATTTTAAACAATGAAATGATTAACAATAAAAGTCCTCCCCTGTAGCTGACAAACGGCCTTCGTGGTAATTCACGTGCTTTTACAATATTGTGCAGTATTTAAGATAATGTTGTATTCCAATACACTAGATACATGCATTTTCTAAAACTAGCTGTTATCACATCAGTGTTCACTCACTTGTTGCTTTGCGTAACACTTTACAAAATGCATCAGAAATGTCACGTCCACCTCACTGTGAATAATTCTTTGAGACTTGAGCTTAATTGCTTAAATTCTGGATTTTTGCAGACTTGGCAGGCTTATGGTTTGAAAATAAGCCCCTCAAAATGCCATCTTGTACGTATCCGGTTGAAGATTGGTGAAAACCTTTACTGAGCAGTTTTCTTTTGACCGTGACGCAGGACCATAACTTCACGAATATACTTTTAAAGTGTGTTTTTCATATATCATATTTTTTCTCTGAAAACTCGAGCATTGTTAATACAGAACATAGCAAACAACTCTGTAGAATTTTTAAATAAATGCAAAGCGACCTTTTTTCCCCCAGGGATGCATCATCAACGAAAAACGACGTGATGTGTTTTTCAAGTGGATTGCAGTGAACTACGACGCCGAAGATTCTAGTATTGACCATCAATTTCAAGTAAGTTCTCCGTATTTTTTAGTGTGCCGAGGCTTGCTTTGGATTATCAGAAAGAGAGTTCGAAATCCAATGGCTTATTGGGATCTCCAAATTTATGCCGTGGGTACGCAGTCCCCCAAGAAAAAGGCGTAAAATCGTGCAATCTTGTGTGTTTTAAGTGCTCAAAAGGACAATTCCAAGACTACTTTCAAGTGGTGGTTTATCCGTGAAATAATGGATGACTTCAGAGGATTTGAAAGTCAATCATTAAAATAATGTCATTAAAATAATAAGATACCGTGATGCCTAAATGTTCCTATTTTCTACACAAAGCAAACAACGTACTGTTCCCGCAATCTACATGTATTTCCATTCAAATTTATCAACTGTTAACATCGAATTCGTTTTAGAAATTCACGAATTTCATATCCGACGTTTAATTCCGTCATTGAAAGCCCATTTGTCCTCTTTACTGATTTTACATACTTATTCATAAACATTAGTTCAGTTTCATAGTTTGTAATGTTTGCCGAACGCACGACAGATGAAACTTTTCTCTCGTTTTACAGTCATTGGTATATTACTCAAATTCACGTTAAAAAGTTGGGCAACGAGGACGTATGCTCAAGTTTCGGCTTCGGTGAAAGAGGACGAGATGGCGCCACGTTCTCGTATACATCACCCTGTGGTTCCGTGTCACCATTGGAATGGTTGTCATCGTTGTTTAGGTTGGTTACATTTTCATATTCCGTCTTTTTCCGCTGATGCACCGACCTTGGTGTGGAGTAGTGCGGTGGAGATGTCGAGCGACGCCCGAGAACCGGGAGCGTGGCGGCCGATGTTGGCGCCGGGGTGTTAACGTACACGTTGTCAGGATCGATGGATGGTGGAGGCGCTGGCTTGTGGGGCGGTGGGTGGGTTCCATCGTCCTCCTCGTTAGTCACATGCCAAGAGTTGGTCGTTGCCCCATTCTCTGCCCTCTCGTTCAGGGTGGTCTCAGCGTTCTCTTCGCGGTGTGGCTCGCCAGGCTCGTTCTGCTCCTCATTCAGCACGATGTGCCTTCGGGACTGGCTGCGCTTCTTGGACTGCGAACGTCTGGAGCGGTAAGTCTTTCGGAGGCACCAGGCGAAGCACACCACCGTTAGCACGACCACAGGGATTCCGCCAGCTGCCGCACATGCGATGAAAATCCACAAATTGATCATTGACCTGTCCTTATTAGGCACGTATGGCTCCTGTATAAGGTCAATTGTCAAACTAGCGTTTACTCTCAGCCCTGAGGGTACATAAGCCTCACATGTTATCACACTGCCGTTATCAGATGTCATCAACTTTTCTATCTTAGCAATTTTACCGTCTTCTTCCCTCATGAGCTTACCTCCATGACTTTCATTCTTCACGCTGTCTACAAACCAATGATAACCGGCGATCGCTGGTATGCCCTCCGCCTTGCATATGAAGGAGGCTTCCTTCCCTGTGACAAAAGCACCTCCGAAGTTCTCAACGGTTGCAGTGGGAGGTACTACAAAAGGCATCAATGTGCATCTTGATACCTCCAATGATGTGCGGTTCTGTCCCACGCAGAGGAACTCGACGCCGTTATCCAGCCCCGCGATTCGCCAGATTGCCGCCCCATCGGTTGAAGATATCGGCGTCGTGTCTTCGCCTGAACTACTTATTCGATACCAGTTAAGGTTACTGTTGTCGACATCAGGGCCCGTCCAGTTGCAGCTGAAGGTGCCAAAAGTGCCCTCTTGTATGGGTCCATTGTCGTGAGTCGAGGTGAAGGAACACATGAGCTCATTTGTCGCGGAACACCAGAGGGGTAAACAAGCTGCAAACGCAACTAACCTTGCGAGATACATGCTGGTTAATAGGCACAAAAGTCGAAGTTATTCTCCAAACAGGGTCAAATTGCTGATCTGGCAACTCGGAGACGCTGAAGATGTTCAATATAGATTCTGTAGGAGTAACAGTCTGAGACGGTTCTCTTCTCTAAAGCCACAAATGACTTCAGTTATTAAGATTTTTGTCCTGCGTTGCTTAGCGAAGTCATGCATCAAACTCGGACCGCGTAATGATTTTCAATGGGTACGCCAACATGAGAAATTAAGGCAGAGTTTTTGGGCTGCTGGCATTGATATCAAATACCTTCCTTATAACGTTGATGGTCCAAAATGACACTTGGAGCACTCTGTAGTGTAGACCTGGATCGTATTGCATTCGGCTCTGCTGTCTTTGAAATCACTCATCGTTTTAAAAGCAAGGATAAACTCTAAGCCCGCGGAGTGCGCCTGTTGTGTCTCCCACGATGATACACATTCCCTGCAGTTTTACATTTCTTGTCCGCGTTGCAGTAATGTTCGTGAAATTTCTACTTCAAAAACGCGAACCGGTTGGACTTTTGAGAAACGACTGAGATTGTACCACACAAGCTTATCAATATCGTGGTCAAATTCCCTGTACATCTTCACGCATGTTACACATGCTCCACAGTCAGCTCATATATAAAGTAAAGAAATTACTTCATTCTACACAGTCAGTACGAAGTAACGTATCAAACTCCCACAGACGGAACCGGCAACTTCCTGCCCTATCTGACAGGGCCATCTCATAGCTTTGACACAGCGATTGTGTTGAGGAAGCGTGGTTAAACGGTCCAGACTCAAGAGCCAGGATAGCTTTTCATATAGTGTTGCCTGGTTTGTTAGTTGCAAAACGCGCAACCACAGGGCGGACCGGGGTTGATCTTCCTTCCCTTTGGGAGAATAATTGTCCCATGCACTCTGGTATCTTATACCTTTAATCTTTTGTGCTTCATTTGGTCACAGTTAATTCATCACATTTTCCCCAGGATTTAATGCTAAAGTTCCCTATAAAATCGATGAGTAATGAAAGCTGACGCCTGCAATATAGCACCGATTTTTGGGCAGCAGAATTGGAAAGGCTGTGTACAAACATCTTAATAACTTATATAATAATTATGAATTGTGCATCGAGTCATCGTTGAAAACAAAGAAAAGTTTCGTTTAGTCGAAAGTCATTTTTTAAAACTCAGTACCGTGTTTTCAGTCACTGCACAACTTGTTAATTTCTTCCGAAATCCTAACTTTCGTAAGCATTCTTTCCCTTTGACAATGCCGTTAATTGAAAAAAGTGTTTTGAAAATATACCCTGTTTTAGCGATATAATACATTTAGCATGCCCACCTTCTGATGATGACGTCAGACAAGTGGTTCCACTGATCACCCCATTTTCTCAACGGATTACGTTGAATTCGTTTTCCGAGCTCAGAGTAAAACTAGGAATTTCAGATTGAATATTTCCTGCGGTCGTGTATTTTTCATGACTGTGTTGTGCCAAATGTCCAAAATTCCTGAATATTGTAAGGGATTGAGAAGAAAGCGTTGGAAACTGAAGGGAAATTACATTTCAAAGAATTCATAAGTAGCCTACTTCCATTCTCCCTACTAATAGACTGTATTTTTGTGTCATGCATCTTGAATTGAAGTTGAGGTTTACTTTTTTATCTTTGGGACCTGGGAGTAAAAGTAACAGTAAGGAAATAAAATTTATTGCAAATTAATGCCACTTTTGCATTTTTAATAATTTCAAATTTGTGATAAATTATATCTAAATGTTTAAAGCCACATTTAAACATACTGAATCCGTCTGGAACCACGCCATTTAACATATTACATTAAATGTGAGGGATTCAGGGAACATGATGAAAAACTGCTTCCCCGTGAATAAAGTCTAATGAATGAATTTATTTTGTGGCCGTGCTGACAGGAGAAGTCAGAATCTGCTCTTATAGGGATTTCAATATACAAGAGGGAGTGATCCTGTAAAGGCCCATCTCCATGGTCAAAACTGTGGGAGGGAGGGAACATGCACTTTCTCCCCCGATAGATTTTTAATGGCTTTGATGGGTTTTGACCCAGACGGATAAGCCAGCTGCCATATTGGAATTACAGTGGCCAACTTCGGTCGGCAGTACACTGCAGATAGCTTCCTGGAAAAATATCCTTGTTTCATTTTTGATGTGAAACAGAGAGCGGAAACCACAATTGGAAAGTGCAACCCTCCATCGATACTGAAAAACAAACCTTCGGCTCAAGGCAAAATACTTAAGCAAAGGAAACTCAACCGTACCCTGGCATCCTATACATTTTCTAACCCAGCCATTACAGTTGTAGACGGTAGTTACATAAACGTCAGCATTTTTGAGCACAGATTATTAAGAATGTTTTACAAAAAATGCGTAATGGTCTCTCCTTCAAGCCTGATCAAGAACGATTGAAATTACGAATGATTAGCAGAGGAAATGTGAAGATAGGCTTATTGTTCTCAGAATCCGACTGAAAAATTACATCCACTCGTGAATAATATGGTACAATTAGATATAGATAAAGATGAAATATGATTGATCAAAACGTATTATGTACCACGCTCTACGTTTAATGTCTTACGTTTTTGTTCACTTTCTAATTTCCAATCTTAGTTCTACCAGCATGCTTGGTTAGGCGTAGTTACTGTACAGTATACATCTATAACCCTTCTACCATTTACATGTATAACAAGTGCAGTTGCTGTTCAAGAGTTTTGCAATACCTTTGCTGCAGTATTCCCCGTTTTGCATAAATTGTATTTGGTTACAAATCTGTAAGGGCTACCATTCTTTTGCAGATGTGAATTTTTACGTCTGAGCTAGCCTGAAGTAATGTAATAAGGGGACTTTCTGTACGTACATGTACATTTCGAACTGTGATTTTAGGCACAATGAAACCCATTCAGCCAGCATGTGTGGTCACATTACGCTATTCCAGTTGTGTTCTTACACTCTGAATGCTGCAAATATGCAATAAAATTCTTTATTTTAAAGAAATTCCCAGTAGAGAAGCCTATTAAGCTAAAAAGCGAATATGCCTCATTATTTTGAAATTCGGAATGCTAATGCCTTTGACCTTAAAGAGCACCTCTAAGGAAAACTTTTTTTCTCTGATTTTATCTGTTCAACTAAATATGGATGCATCCAAATCGAATACAGTGTTATTTGTATTCAGCGCTCAACTATAACAAGCTAAAAAGGTTTTTTTTCTGTTCATGCCAAGATGCAAATTCTGAACGTGCTGAATGTAGATTGTGTTATTCAGAGAAAACGAGGGGAACCCTCGCCCTGTGTTCGTAGTGGATAAACCCTTGTGCATGTCAAACAGTGCACGCAGCCATTGCTTGTAGCCATTGTTGGCATGCACAGGGGTTGAGACCGGAGGGCGAAAAACCTGTCTCTTTCCAACTTGCGGCTGGCCTGGCAAATGAGTGGTCACGGGATGTGAAAGGTGCAGTTTTGTTCAGTGGGGTACTGTGCAGTTCCTTCTAATTCCCTAGGGGGTTACTACTTTTAAGATAACAGATCTTTTATGGGGGAGTTAATAATGGTTCAGAAATCAGGGGTAAACCGCTCCAAATCTTGTAAACCAAGATATATTAAATCATTAGGGGAAAATGGGCCAAGCCAAAATGAATCAGCCACATTGATAGTTTTGTCAGTAGAATGCTTGCTTGCCTTTTTGTCTGCAGAATACGGCCTCTAAGAAGGTTTTGCCGACCGGGCGTTTATTTTCAAATTACCGTATTTTTGTAAGAGCTTCCATTTGTAAAATTCAAATACGGCGTAGACAAATACACTGGAGTTTACAACTGAAATTCAAGCACAAAACGATCACGCCCACGACGCCATTTTGTGAATCATAATTTAGTCATACTTTTATAATACTATTCGCTAGAAATATTGTATTTTAAGCTAATTTTATGTCAAACACACGCAGCCATATTCACTACCTACCCAATTCTTTGTACTCTTTGTACTCTATGTACCCTTGTCCAAAGGTCAACAGTTACGCTGTAGATACATTCATATTAGTCATAGTTTAGCATATTTACAGTTGTTTATGTGTGGGTCTATAAAAGCTATAGCCACATGCCGGTGTTCCCTTTGCAACGTTTTGGTTACAAATCAACACCTCACGTTATGTGCATTTGAACGGCCGCATTCATAAACAGAGACGAACGTCTCAGCAGAGGTGAAAACGTAACATTTCCATTGGCTTTGTTTTTCGGCCCATGCAGATAAATCAAATCAATATTTTGTGAGGTAAATGTTTTAAAAGAAGAGAATGAGGCAACCGAGTTTTTATATCAAAGTTACTGTAACTAGCCATGGTCTCTAAGTCTATTCTTGTTCTCTGAATACTGCCATTCTTACGTGTCGGAATGGCATCACTGCCTTGAATTACAGCAGTGTCCGCAGGTGTTGTTAAAGAAATCTAGTGGGGCGGGCGCAAAATGCATCTATCACTGTCATGCAGTGAATCGGTGCGTCAACACATCGACCTCTTCCGGTTACCCCAGAGAAGTAGTTTTTGTGACTGGAGTTGTTTGTGCGTTCGAGAGGTATGGACCTCTAGCGGTGGCCACGGCTGGTCGAACAAGCTTTTTTCGCCACAGTGTCCTCGCTTGGCGACTGAAAGCAAAGGATAGGAACACAAAGACACCCTGCAGGGAGCAAAAGATGATGAACAGATACCGAAAGACGACCAATCCCGTTGCCATAGTGACGAACCCAAGGATCCAGGCGAAACTCATCAAACTTGATATCTGTTTGAGTAATGCATTGAAAAAGTCAATTAACCTGACCCTTTCATGATGAATTACACTTATTTTAGAGACCAGATCTTGTGTGTATAGAAAAACGTGTTCCTCATAATCAAGTGAGAACACGGAAGTACTTTAGAAGGCTACCTTGTGAAATTCAGAAACTTGTGATATCTATATACGTAAGTATATAGATACAGATATAGATACTTTCGACACAGAGTCCAATATATGTGTATATCACTTGTCTTGTTAAACAGGAGTTTTTCATACCTTTAAGTAGACGACGAGCTCCTGCCACACTGCCTTGGCCCTGGATCCTTTCTTGCTCAAAATGGTGGAAGCTTTCTTGCTTGCTCGGATACCTCGGATAGTGCAAGCGAAACACGCCACGTTGAAGCAGATGCAAAGCGCAATTGGTGCATAGAACATGACGTACGCAGACCCGCGTCCTACCAACCAACAGGAAACCTGACCGCCGTAGCCGAAAACCAGACGGGTGCGGTTGCTGGTGAAGTGTAAAATTAGGTTGGGGGTCACGAACAGAAGCGGTGCACACCAGCCGATCAAACACAGGCGGAGAAACCTACTCCTGCTCTCTGCGGTTTTGGCTGATGTTGTGGTGGTGAAGGTTCGCATCAAGTCCCAAGACATGACCGCCATCCATGCAAAGGTAGCCAGCCACATGTAGTGACTGACGACCGCTACGGTGATGCAGAGCGCACCGTCAGAAGGACCGATGACCACTGTGGATAGGATTGCCAAGAGTTGACCAGCCAAGATAGCAAGAGACAAGCTCATGATTGCCAGACCAGGTACGTTTCTCAGAGTTGGAAAAACGCCGTAGGTAATCAGAGTGGCCAATATCCCGGCCATAGACAAACTGAACGCCACTACGTTGAGAACCTGTGCCGGGTCATCAAAGGAAAAAGGATCCCCTGTGGTTGAACCACGGATCGTTGAGAAACAAATAAGAGTTTCACCACTCAGTAAAGTCACTTCGGTGGGCACATCTGGGTCATGGATCTTCTCGTTTCCTTTAGCTTGAATTTCACATGTTATGTTGTTTTCTTTTATCCCACAATAGTTCACAAGTTTGAATTTCTCTGTAGTTTCTGCTCGGACTTGGTACACTATGGATGTATTTCGATATGTTGAGCTAACGAGTGTAGGAGCACTGGCGATGAAGAGGAATAAGTTCCCGCTGATATTGACCGGTGTCACATTCACGCGATTGACATCAAAACAGTCCACATCACCACTGCTGCTAGTGTTACTGTTTGGTGTCATCTGTAGATTAGATTTATCACTCACCAGGACCTCTGCCAAATTACAGCGACCCACCCAGTCCGTCCCAGGCCTGATTCTCTCCAGGCTCAAGACGTCATCCAACACCCCTTCAAGTTGACTTGTACTTTCCAAGTAAGAGGTTGTCAGGGAGAAGGCAGTGTCAACGGTTTCGTAAACTAATTCTGATTTTAACAGTTGCTGGAGAGAGGGGAGGAAGTGTAGCGCCAGGCCAAGATTGGAATAACCAATGGCTTGCAGCAGACATTTTGCAGAGTCCACTCCAGAGCGAATGCTTTCATTGGTGTTTTGGGCGCCCTCGTTGGCAGCAGTAACATGTAGGTGTGTTGTAAACATCCTTGTGCTAAGATCTGCTGGATCTACTGTAACGGTGTGGTGATTTACTCGTTGTGGAGTGACACTTGGAAATTGCTTGTGAATCAGCATCAAGCCCTCCATTACACTTTGTCCTTGGTTATCATCACACACTCCCTCATATGATTGTCCTAAATTGCACTTCGCGCAATGTGGGTTTTTGAAATTTTTATGCGGTGCCATGTACGATTCACAGGCTTCCGTGTAGCCGTATGCGTACGTTGGACAAGTGCCAATCGTAGAAGGACACAGTCGCAACGTTTTCTCATAGTCAAATAAGGGTACTGGAAGTAGGAATTCATTGGGTACTTTAGTTGCATTGGAGTCGAAGGATGAAGCAGCTGTAGCTCCATGACAGATAGCACACGCCACATTCTTGAAGGGCACCAGCGACCGATAGAGAACAGGATTCACATTGGAGGGGAGGAGGCATGCCCGTCTTACTTCATCTTCTCCCCAGGAATCTGGACACTCGCTCACCAGTTGATATTTCAAATTCTGACTCGAATCTAGGGACCAGCATTGGTAGTAGCGGAGGTTGTCCAGTAGTAGCAGGAAGAGATCGGGGTCATGCCTAGTGTAGTTGCTGCTCAGCCACTCCAGGGACGTCGAACACTCTCTGGCGACGTCATAGCAACAGTCTTGAAAAGTCTCAATGACGTCACAACCACACTGGACCGGGGATGATCTTTCTCCGCAGCGCCCTACACAAGTCTGTTCTGGTGTAATGCTTTCGCTTCCCGCCAGACCATGCATTGTTATTTCTACAGGCAGAGAAAAGGAAATCCGCAAAAATCGAGGTTATCTATCGAACTTAAATGCATTTCATTGTTGTAGTTGTAATCATGGAATTTTCTAAGCTATTTCAAATCGCTGTGCCTTTTTAAAAGCTGACCATATTCACCAAAATACATACACCAAATCATGCATGTGTCCTCGAGTTCTCAGCAAAATTGCATCACCTAGGAGTACCAACCTAAACTGCAAGATATACGCATGTAGTGGCCACCCGTTCTCCAGCATTGATTTTGCAGTCGGAACCAGAAAAAGGATCCCTGGTGTTTCTTTCGTAACAGGTATTCCACCGCTTTGCCGCGTTTTTCGGCCGATAGGAAGTGGGACTTGATCAAGCAGGACGCGCCGATGCGATAACAAACGTCTTTAGCCAGTCTCTGCGAGGGATTGCCATCATGGAGGCAGGCTGGCCCCCAACCAGTCCCGTTGAACTGCAACTCCAGAATGCCTTCTCGGTCGTTAAGACCGTCAACAAGACGAACACTGACATTCAATCCATAGAGACGGGTGTTACTGATGGCAACCATTTCTTCATCTGTATTGAAAAACAAAACAAGTACAAAAATGCTATTGATTTCTTTCCCACTAATCGGATCTTACGGGACTGATAGATTTTTGTAACGATCAATCTTACAGCATTAAAAGCCTTAATATTTTGAACGAATAGTTAGCTTATATTTCTGATCATATACGCCATCACGTCTAATTCCTTTCCATGAAAACCTCTTGGTACGGTACCGCACGGCATTGTGAGTCGCCATATTGTTGGTAGAAACCATTGATCTCTATTATAAAGACAGAAACCCTATTCCATTGAGATACTGGGGATGAGCGCCGTAAACCCCGAGAAACTATAAACTGTGAGCAGTGTTTCATCGGCAGGGATACATTTAGATTCCAATCAGTCAACGTGCATGCCAAGCGTTATGCACCGATCTACTCTTAAGATCGTTACTTCAAGGAATTATACTGTATGTTCTGTGACATTGCCAAATCAATTAAATGACATTGTATTTATAAGTGGTTAATAAGCCAAAATCAATTAGTAGAAATGCGCGTCTTTTCGTGAAATCGAAATCAATTTGTCCCACTTGTTGGCCTTTCTGTGCAATTTATTATTCCGTAGGGCGGGGATGTAACAAAGATTTATTGCTCTTCGTGAAAGCGAAAATCTTACTTGACTTACTTTTAGGCCTTTCCAGTCAGTACCTGTTGTTTGTGTACGAAGGGCAGTCAGATTTATGTCTGTCCGTGAAAACGCAAAATGTACTCCTCGAAATTTGGGCGTATAACATCATGAATATCGAAATATGCTACTTTCAACATGTTTGGCTCGTCCTGAAAACGGTGACGGGTTATTTCAATGGTTCCCCGTCGTCAAATCACCGTTATTTGTAGGATTTGGTTTTTTTCAGTTCTTTGTCAACCAACTCACCGCTGGCGCACATGACCTCCTTGAAAGTTCCAGCACAAGAGGGCGTTCTGTTTTCGCAGCTGCTGTCCATCAGCGTATGCCTCAGACACTCTGTCCACGAATGATACGCATATCCACATCTTGTGGTCATCAGTTGGAGTGTAGGTTCCCGAGTCTCGTTTGTACACACTCCGCCTAGACCGAGGGCTAGCTTATATCCGAAATGCCGGCAAATCAGATCGGCTTCATAAAGGTCACCGTCGATATCGGCTTGTTGGTCCTGTGGGCGGCACCTTGCTAGCCAGGCCCAACCTGCCGTGCCGACGCTTACCTCTACCCGGCCCTCGCGGGGAGAACACCCAGCAGATAGCCGAAACGTAGCTGCATGTAAAATATATTTTAAAGAATCAAAAGAAAAAAATCATTTTCTGCAGTGAGAAACGGGATAGTTGGCAAAGGAATAATACAAGAATACCAGGTTACACATTTTGTGTCATACGAACAAGCCTTGACACCAACGTGTGAAAACTAACATTAAAACAGCTTGGTATTTTCAATTATTTTGGCATAGCGTTGTTTAATTGTTTGGCCCCCTCCCGACATCTGGCACACGTGATTTGACCTTAAATTATGCATTTTTATATACATATGTATATTTTTTATTCACATACATATATATATAAAATAACCCATCCTGCATTTTTGGGAAATTTGTTGGCCAATGGATACCTTCAACTTCCTTTACATTTATGTAAAATCGACGCACGCATGACCAACAGGTATCATCCCGTGCGTTTACGGGATATTCTGCTTAGTATAGCCTTGATGGCCTCAGGACAGTTTCATGTAGTTGTAAAAGGGAATGTTGCAAGGTTTCATTGTATTCTTATGAATCGAGCAAGAAGTGTCGTAAGTGCATGTTCATAGATACAAACGGGAGAACCATACGTGGAATGCAGAGAAGTGCCAAGTCGGAACTGTGGTCACAGCTGGTCGGATGCAGAGACCAAGCAGCAAATGAGCACAGGTCGCCGGGCTTTTCATAGGTGCACGTGAAACCCTGAGACCATATTGGTTTGTCAGCCTTGCCGAACCTCTCGCCCGCATAGCTGAGGCTGTAGGGAGCGAGGAACCCCATTCGAGAGCAGATGCCGCGCACTACCGCCAGAGGGCAAGCATGCGCCACCGCGGTGCTGTTTCTGTCACAAACCGTGCCCCATATGTCATCTGGTGGTCTCATCTCCAGCCGTCCCTCGTAACCGTGCGGTCCGCCGGCTAGTGTGACATTCCAGTCCCAGGAAAACCACTCCAGCCGTGCCTCCACTGTGTGAAACATGCGGAAATAAACTTATGATATATAGGCAGGTTACAGTTCGGTGCTTGTTTTTGACCTTGTCAAGTCTATTGTTGGAGTTTGAAACATCTTAATATCTTTATGGGTTTCTGAGTCACAGATAAAAAGCCCAAACTGAGGCTCTTGATGTTGATGTTCTGGGGTGAAGAGTCCACAGCTTTTATTTTTATTTTATATATCTATATATACATTTGTGAATTTTTGTAAATAAATATTTGTAAATAAATAAAATTAAATGTTAGACTATGTTTTCTGGAATACATACTTGACAAATTAACCATTACACATTTCTTCTTTCATTTGAATAATTGCAAAACATCATTTTATCGTTACTTGTAATTGAGTCTTGCTCATCTTAATTATCGTCTGCGATTGCTTTTGATGATGAATAAACTTTAGTATACACCTACTTGTTATGTGTTCATTCCTTAAAATGACCTAAAACTTAGTGTTGGTAGGTGGGGTGGGTGGAGGAAAAACTAAAGCCTCGGACAGTCTCAACGCAAGTGCCGCACAGTAGGATTTCAAACAGGCTTTCGTGTACGGTTAAAAAGCAGTGTACCGTGAACCCTTTGCTTGTGCATATTGAGCCAAAGCTGTTGCGTAATCTTCTTCAACAGGTGTATAGTGAAAGCAGAGAATGAAAGCTTTTGCCTTCACTGGTAAGGATGAATCGTGTCCAATAAATGTGATTAATGTTGTTTCACGATTAATCTTTTCTTTAATAGTCACAATGCATTTCAATAAGTCCCCTTTACCACAGAGTTAGTGACATAATGTTCGGATTTGGTAATGGAAAATTCATTTTCACAGATTTCGACGATTAAAATTACAGCAATTGGCGATGACACTCAACTTGCGTGCAGGTCATGCGGCCGTACCGTTGACATCTTAACAGTACTGGACATTTCCTTTCGGACCCGTGTGCGTCATTCAGCTTTTTGGTTTTTGCAACCCGGACTTACCAGTGGAGATTTTGCTGGCCAGCAGAGCTGAGTGTTTTGTGTTCTCTGTTTTACAGATGATGAGATTATAACTGCGTGTCATAATCAGAGGACTGCCTTGTGAAATGAAAGATCATCTTTCATTTCTTCGTGTAGATTAAAGTTTATGCAACATTTTTAGCGGGTGAAATACCAACTAATGCAAAAGTTGGGCAAAGCTTTAAGCAACAGTTGGGCAACACCATACATTGCGTAATTAATGAGTAAAAAATTTGCCATGGCATGAGTTGGTAAAACCTTTGCTCAAAGATTGGGTAATCGTCAGTGACCAGTTGTTGGCCTGGTTGTCGCACAGTGTTGGTTCAAATTAACCCAGTAATTTAGTTGATATAAAAGCCTTCCCTGAAAAACCTAGCAGCAACAGTGTTTTTAGTATGAAAAAATTAACTTGTTACGTTCAAGTGAATTTAAAGTATAAGATTTTATTCACATGTAACTCCCCTTAAAGGCTTCTTCGGCAAGTGGTGCAATGCGCTCACGGTTTAACTTTTTCTTCTGAAAAACAATAATAGCGCCGAAACTCCTGGTTCAGACAGTTCTATGGCTTCCAGAAATATCGTTTGTTATAAACACATTACCTGAGAATACTATCCAGGTCTCACCTCCGAAGGAGCTTCGTGGGTCTTGACGACACTGGGACTGCTATCACGCCGGGGGAGACAAACAAACAAACTAAGCACATGGGACCGTTGGCGGGACTCTTATTTACAGCATTTGTAAAAAAAATGCTAGACTTGATCCAATTAAGTCAAACGATGTAGTAATGCAAGAGCTGACTCTTGCCAATTTATGCAAAAGCAATTAGATTTTTGATCACTCATAAAACATCAGTTTCAACACTACCTTGGTATTATACTTGTATGGTTTTCTGTGTCGAAAGTTGTGTGTGAAATCCTTTGCGAAACGAGGGGCAGGGGAAAAAAAAGGCCACGACATGTACGGGTGTGATTGCAGTGTAGACATGGCTTCACCCGAAGGATTTTTTTTTCATAATTTTCCAGCCGCACATATTTTCCCACTTGAAAGCGCCATCTGTTCGAGAATGCAGAGTGAGGCACACATGGGCACATAATTTATTCCTACATCCAGAATAATATCATTACAAAATAAGTTTCTTTTATACAGTCTCTGTCACATTCCCGTGGATAAGACACGTTGCTGTCAGCTTGCATAGTTGAGAGGTAAAACTAGCCAGAGTCTCTTGATAAAAGGACAGTCTAGAGATATTGGTTCCAGTAAGTTATTGTCTGTTGTCTTGTCTCTTAATTGTCATTTACGTTATGCTATGAAAGCTTACTTTGGAATGAGATTGTCCTCACTGAGATTTTCTCGTAGTAGTTGCAACTTTGTTTTTGTAAGCGGTACTGACCAAGCGCAAAATCGGCTGCACATTATTGTAATGTGTTTTGTTGCTTTTGTTTTCGATCCAGTGTGCAGCTGTTTGCAATTTTCAGCTGTGCTGTGATACTCTCCCCAAAGTTGTCTTGACTGGAGTCTATGACTCGACTCGAATCCGAATAGGCCTAGTGTCACAATTTTAGGACGACTCGATTCCCGACGGATAAATTACTCGTTTTGACTCAAATCACTGGGAGCAAATTAATGACCCGATGCGACTCGATTCCCTCATGAAAAGATCTGACTCGAGTAATAGTTACTTTTTGGATAAGTCCCCCCCCAGTAAGCTCCCTTGCGAATAAATAGTTGAAGTTACATACAGTGCCGGTTTATATAATGTTCTTGTCATGTATTTTAGGTTTTCCCCGGTTAATTTCGTTCAATTCGTTACAATGACTGTGCTGGACTCACAAAAATTAGTAGTTCAATCTAACTCTCACCCACCCTGATTATGTGATTTCCAGTGCACCCGTTCGTTTCCCCACTTCCTCCGTCTTCCCAACGTGCATTGTTATGTACTTTCTAAAGTCTATGAACCACAGGCAGCTATAGAGGCATATATGCACATACCTATGAGTAAAGTCAGCGAAAGTAACAGAATCGTCTTCATGCTCAGGGTGGCCCGTTTCGTGCAAACTGCACAGCTTGTTCTTGTTCTGTGGCTGTTTTCACATTGCCTTAAATAAGCTTCCTCCGTCTGTGTACGCTGTTGACCCATCCGTTTCCAGAAACAGCTGTGGACCTGTTCAGCGAGATTAACATAGCGTAATATTGTAGTGTCTCGTTACAGAAGTTTTATCTTCTTTCGTTGCCTCGGTTCATATGCTATGAATTCCTCAGAGTGTGTTACCTGTAAGTGCTGGGCAGTCGTGCTGAACTAATTAAAATTTTGCCGAAGGATGATTATCTTGTCTGGCGGTCTAGCGTGAAGCCTGGATGTCATATTACTAATGAAGGAGCCAATATAAGAATCAGCTTCAGTATCTAACATAACGTAATAAGGTTTTGCATTCCCCTTTGCATAATGTAATGTGACAGCCATTAAGAGGGGGCGTCTACTGTCTGGTACTCATTATGTATGTCTTTGCATGGATACATTACAGGTTGAGTTTCCTTCTTCTTCATGAATCCACCGGCGTAAATCCCTGGAGATGGGGATATATTTCGCCCCCACCTTTTGAGGCTGATGGGCAAACAAGTGATCTCTCCACTCTTTTTACGGTATGCAAAAGGATTACATAGGACAGGATACGACAGGGCACGACACGACATGAAATTGAATTAATTAAACCGGATTGTAAATTTTTTAGGACTTCCAAACGACTAAATTGAATTAAATGTCACTGCATGAAAACGGATGTACATCAGTCATTAACATCCCTACATGCAGGCGCTTACTGTCGGTACTACGAGGCAAAGTCTGCCGTAGGATACAGCTCATTCACGGGGCCAGTCGCCAGTCTTGGTCGCCGACTTTTTCCTGAACGAGGAAAAATTAACTCGGCCTCCGTAACTTACCACTATGATAGTTCTCGGTCACCCGATCGATATCATTTTTTGTTTTTTAGTTCAGAATAAATTGTTGTCTTGCATGTGATCTATTGTTGAACCGCATCAATTCTACCTTTACAACTCTACCTCTACCTGGCGGAAGACTTGTCTTTCTCGAAAGTACCTGTCGCAGATGAAGACAAAATTACCGCAAAGTCTGTAATATCACCTTAAATCAATTTCCCGAGACAAGAACTCCATATGAGTGGAATTCTTCAGTAACCGTAGGCTTCACAACTTGGTTCTTCGCAGCTTTGGTGAAGAATTTAACGGTAAATTCGAACAATTTGTTTGTATCCCCTATCTCCCACCTTCAACTGCGTAATGCCCGCCAACCCATACCCTCGCCTCATCTTAGTCGTCCTCCATATATCCCACCCCGTTTGCGACAGTCGATCCAGTGCCGGGCCTCAACTCGTACTATTCCTAGATTGAGGCAAGCCCCCTTACAACGAAGGTACTCATCACACGGCCTCTTTCCAGTCGGGGAGCTCGCACACGACTACGTTGCTTCGTCCTCTCCGATCCTAAACTTTAAGCGGTTGTCTACAGTCTACTGGCCGAGTGTTTTGTTTTTTGGGGGATGGTTATCTCCGAGAGATAGGTACTTCTCTCTCTCGCTCGCTCGCATACGCAAACGTCCCCTCCCCAAAACGATACTGCAGCTGACTTCAGCCCATACAACTTTTTTTGCTGGAGTTGGACATAAATTTCTGGAATTCCTTGACGATCAAGAAAATCGAAGCTGGTTCCATTTTCGCTTCCGACCGGGCTTGGGCAATGACAGTTCTCTGCTAAAGACATTATCTTACCGATTGTCGAACGAGTCGTCATCCTACAAAATACACTTACCACCTATAGTCATGTGAAGCACCTTAACGCTTGGCAGCTCACAGTTCGAACCCAAAACGGTGATGATGACCTACGCGTCATTTCCAGGATGGGAGGCTGCCCTTCTTCCTCATCAGGTTTCAGGGAACTGGGACCCCAAATTCCAGTGAAGCCACATTGTCTTGGCTATTTTCAACGTTTCACGCCACTTCGTTTTTGCATCCAAGAAAGGAGCGTTTTGATCTACTCTGACAATTCTACGGCAGTGGCCTCTATCAATCATCAAGGCGGCACGCATTTCCCCAATTGTGCATCTTAACTTGGGAAATTCTGCACCGGTCCATCAATCAACTGATCGACCTACAAGCTATTCACATCGTGAGATCCGACAATTCCATCACAGATGCACTTTACGACGGCATTGTCCGCCCCACCGAATGGACTCTCCACACCCATATAACCAAAATACTCTTCTCGATGAAAGAGACGTTTCATAAATCTCTTCTTCAATTCGTGCTGCATGAAGAAGGTTATGTAGCTCTGACCATTCTAACGTTTGTATATAATTGAAGAGTACATATATATTACTACGGAAGCCTAAGGTGACAATACCTGAATAGCTGGCACAAGCAGTTGCCTGACACATGTTGCCCTGGACCGCACATATAGCCGCAGCGTAGGCATAGGCTTACTGACCAACGTGAATCCTGTTTGTTCGTTAATAAATGTGTCCAGACCCATGACACGTGCAGTAAGTGTAATGTCACTCAAGCGGCATTTTTCTTCCCCTAAATTTTGCCAAACTGAAGACAGTTTGCAGTCCAAATATTTCACATCGAGCTCGTACGTTTGGATGCATCGTAAAGCCTATACCGTACCGATAGTGTGAACGTACGTGTGCGTGTATTAGCTCTGTACTTAGCTTTCGTGTGATTAACTGGTTTCCTTGTCTAACTTGACAGATGCCATTGACTGGCGCGCTGGATACCAGTTTGTATTACCGCGAGACAAGAAATAAACAAGGCCGTAGACAAAACTATTTTTTCTCACAGGTGAAAATTTACACAAGTAACTGAAAACACCAAATCAACATATATTTTTGCTAGTCATGTGAATTCCCTTGCGGTCAAAACAGCATCTCAGAAATCAGCTAAATTGTTGTGCGCCATGTTTGTCACGCGTGTTAGAAGGCCATGCGCGTGCTCGTCCCCGATCTGTGTGGAGAGCGCGTGAGGAAGTTCAGGCGTGACCATTTGGTGAAATAGGGGTGTCCACAATGTGCGATATTATGGATGCGAGTATCGTTCGACTAAAATTAAACCACATTCAGTGTACATGCATACACATTTGAATTGCTTTTCACAGATTCATTACATCACACAGGACAGCCAATACATTTCTTGATCTTAGCTCGATATTGTGTTCTTGCCGCGCGTTAGTTGCAAATGCTCGTTGCTCTATATGGTATAACAGCATTGACATTCCAGAACAAACATTGAAACAAACACCAGCGCATCAGATTGGCAAACAATTTATTTCAGCATAATAAAAGTCACTGATTAAACATTCAAATCTTCAAGGCAAATATATGAAATTGAAACTGAACTTTTTCAAGATTTTTAAAATCTTGAAACTATAAATTGCACAAATTCTGCACCTTAAATGAGCACAATAAATTTTAAAATCTTCAAATTTCCATATATTGAAAGTTGATAATGCAAATAATCAAAGTTCATTTTCACAGAGTTTTAACATCATAAATTGCAAATTTCAATCACTGCAACTACAACACGAACAAGCGAAATGAATTTGCCTTCCTTCAATTAATATAATTTCTATGTGAACGAATTTTTTTCTTCTATATTTTGTAGGCCTACCTCAAATTCCAACAATAAAACCTGATAATTGAAGTTCATGCAAAAACCCAATTCCTCATTTACAGAATATTAAATTTGATGATTTAGTCTTTCCTACACATAAGTATAAGCCTACATACATGTAAAGTCCTATATGCACATCTTAATTATGATCCAATTTAAAATTCTATATTAAACTCGCTAATTTCAGAGAACTTTTTCAATGTAATTACATGTATATGAAATCTTTACTTGCAAGAAAGGTGGGTCGCACACTGTTTACAGATGAATTTGGAAACTTGAGACACACGAAGACTAAGACAGAATTCAACTTTTCAAAACTGACAATGAACATTTTAGTATCAATGTTGCATTTGTAGACAAAGGGCAACCACTGTGAATATTAAATATACTAAATGTTACAGAGAAATTCAGACATAAGTTATAAATGCTCATTTAATATGAGAGACTTGCCATATCATGTTGCTGGCATTGGGTTAAATAACAGTCTGGTCAGTGTTTTGCTCGCTTTCTAAGTGCTTGCTTGTAAAATCATCTTTTCCTTCCTCCACGAATAAATACATCTTTTCATGCATGTTGTAGACCTGGACGTGCAGACAAAACAGCACTTCATTCTGTATGTACCTGTACATGCAAAGAAACGCATGTTCGTTTATTGTATTCCTGTTGTCCACACTGGCTGCAGAATTTCTCTCTTTTGCATCACCCGTTCTAAAGCCTATAAACCCTTATATTCTGATGCCCTGAAAAACCATTGAACTTTCTCGGGCACGTAGTACCGTTTTTTTCAACCTTTTTTTTGTGCTATTTTGCACGCATATGAAAGCCCGAAGACCCTGGGAGTTGATTCTGGCAAAGATTTACACGATCTTGCCATTCCGTTCTGGGGACAAACAATCTTTTTCAATAGATGTTAAAAGGGCACTTTTAATGCTGTTGAATTAGCCAGACATCGGAATTACAATGCCCAACTTGGGCCGACAATAGACCTTTTCACTAACAAATTCTTAATTAGGCATGCAAATGGCCTTGGTGGCAAGAAGTGAGAGCAGTCCATTGAAAAGGTATACAGGGGTGCAACTTTGATGATCATTTTCTCTCAAGCTTTGTTGCTTTGATAAACTTTTCCTTCAAAAATCCCAATAAATCGTTTTCCTATTAGTTTCTAATCTTAGAGGGATTTTTAGTGCTCTGTAAAAAGACTTTATAATTGTCTTTTTTCACTTTTAGACAGAAAGCAGAAACCACAATTGGAAAGTGCAACCCCCCAGCTAAAAAAATCTTTCGCTGAAGGCAAACCACTGAAGCAAAGGAAACTCAAACTGTACCGTGGAATCCCATTTTCTAACCCAGACAATGCAGTGAAAAAATCGGTATTTTTGAGCATAACATTAGGAGAATGTTTTGTAAAAAACGTGGGTAGAGTGATCAACTTTGTTCTCAAGCTATGTAAAAACAGGCGGTCTGTCCTTCAAGACTGATAAAGAACGATTAAAAGTTACGAATGATCGCGGAGGAAATAAGAGGATATTGTCCTGAAAATCCAGGTTAAATATTACGTCCACTCGTAAATGATACGGTACGATTAAACATAATTAATAAAAAATGGTGAATCAAAACGTATTGTGCACCACGTTCTTGTCTGTTGTCTAGCTTTTTGTTTACACTGTCTCTTTAGTTTCCAATCATAGTCTGGCCTCCCCTGCATGCTTTGTTAGGCGTATTTACTGTGCAATAGATAAGAATAACCCTTGCACCATTTGTAGCAAGTGTAGTTGCCCTGCAGGGGTTTTGCAGAACTCTGCAGTAGTGCTCCCTGTTTACGCATAAATTGTATTTGATTACAGATTTGTGAGGGTTCTCATTCTTTTGCAGATGTGATTTTTTTTTTTTACATCCGAGCCAGCCCAGAAGTAATTTAATAAAGGGACCAGTTTTTAATTTGTGGGTTTCTTCTGCACGTACATTTCGAACGGTGATTTTAGGCTGGAAGAAACGTATTCGGCAAACATGTGTGGTCACATCACGTTTTTCCAGCTGTGCTGGAAAAATGCTGCTAGAATAAAAAAAATAAATTCATAGCATGATGTACTGCGACTTCCCAGTTGTGAAACATTTATCAGCGTATTTGCCTTGTTTTGTTTGTTTGTTCTAATTCAGAATGTTAAAGCCTTTTGGCAATGGGAGAAGTTGTACCTACGTTTAAAGGAGCCGTTGCAGCTTAATGCAAAGGTATATGTGGGTCAGGAATGGCAGGTAGAGATTCTTGACCTAAGTGTCATTTGCTGTTTCATGACAACCATCCACCCAAGTAAGCCACGTCCCAGCCACCTCTCCTATAGAGGATCCTCTCCCCATCCCATTCCAACCCAATCTGACTTGAAACTGAAAACACTTAAAGAAATTAAAACTAATTAAAACCAATACGGGCGTTGGCCAATCACAGTGCGCGAAATATGTCGACCATTTCCCAACTCACATTTCCCAGTGACCCGTCCGGACGTGTCATCCAGTCTCCATTATAATGGAGCTCAATAGTGTCAACCCATTCAAACACGCATTGCGCACAGTGGTTGCTGCGTTGCAAACTCCTGGTGGCGCACTATTGCGAAACGCTCCCATTAAAAACAAAACTTGGCACACATACACAAAACCAACATACAATAATGGTTCAAAAATCAGGGGAATCCCTCAAAACCCTATAAATTAAGGTAATTATATTAAACCATGGGGGGAGGGCCTAACCAAACTTTATCAACCACACTGACGATTCTGTCTAGAGAATGCTTGCTTGCCATTTTGTCTGCTGATGACCTTTGAGCAGACGGACCGGGTTATTTTTCCTTCAAAAAGCTGACTATCGTATTTTTGGAGGACGTTCCATTTGCAAAATTCAAACACTGCGAAGACAAATACAATCTACACTGGATTACAAGCACAAGACAGTCACACCTACGATGCCATTTTGTGAATCATGACGAGTCATAACGTTATAATTCTATTTGCTAGAAAGATATATTTCTAAAGAGCTAATTTCATCTCAGACATTTACTGTTAGCTGTATTCACTACTTTAATTCTATACTTCTTATTGTGACTGTACCCTTTGTCCAGAAGTCGACAATTATGCTGTAGATACGTTCATATCAGTCACAGTCAAGAATATTTTCAGTTATTATTTGTCGGCCTTTGAAAATAAAAGCCAGTTTACCACATGGCCGCGTACGCTCTTGCTACGTTTTGATTACAAATCTGGTACGATCCTGATGTTGGGGGATACACCTCACGTTATGTAAATTTGAATGGCCGCATTCATGAACTAACAGAGACGAATGTTTCTGCAAATGCAGGAACTTAACATTTTCCATTGACTTAGTTTTCCACCCATACAGATTAAATCAAAAGGTGTTTGTCTGGTAAATGTTTTGAAAGAAGAGAGTAAAGCAACCTTTGTTTTTATACCAAAGCTACTAAAATATAAAATAAATATATCAAAGAATAATCTCAATGACATGCAGAATAAAGATTGTGAACAATTTTATAAGACAAGTTGGTCACCAGTAGGCCATCATTTAAAAGCACGTGTACCTATAATCGGAATCATTCCGACGGAATGTAAGAATGTTTCAGTGAACAACTGTGGTAAGATGCTGCTACTTCCAGGGAACCATATGGGAATTGCTATAGTGCGTGTCAGGTGCAAATTTGTTACATTGTGTACATTTCCAGAGTAAAATTCACCTGTTTGTCAAAAAGGCGAAACAAGTTTGCCCATGAATTTGCCCTTTATTGCTAACGCTTTATCTATCGAAGAAAAAATTGCGTCGTTTTGAAAACGCAAAATGAAGTTCAATTGAAATTTGCTCCAGGTAGGTCATCGTGATTTGGCTGATTCCAATAGATTTGTGAAAAACAATTATTATTTGCATATTTCAAATACTGCGTAGACAAATACAATTTACACTGGAATTCTAGCACAAAACGAT